TGGTAACATGCTGGTTCTCCGGTGCGAGAAAATAAGCGAGAACAACGCAGACGATACAACTCGACGCATTTCCTGCGTTTCTTGCACTCGCGCGCCGTTTCCGGCAACAGCTGTAGATTATGTACAGTAGGTGGGAGCAGAGAAGAGACGAGTGTGGGCTAGGATGCCTCGCGCGAAAACCTCGGACTTATCCGTGACCAGCAACGTACTCAGATGCAGGGCTAGCGTCATTCCCGCGCTGGCTCAGTCCACTCGTCTTCTGCGCTCACCTCCCCTCGTCCGTGTCCTCTACTGGATGCGCGCAACACGCACCTGTCCTCTCGTCTCGCGGGCCGGCATTGGCGAGACTCCGGGTGTCCTGTGAAGAACTTATCTGGAGTGGGCGCCAAGGAAGCGTCGGGGGATATACACACGGGCGATACGGTCTATTCACTCGTCGATCAACGAAGGGAAGTCGATGGCTTCGATCCGGATGCTGTGCTTTGTATGTAGGACTGGTGCGCAGCGACTCTCGGTGCCCTGCTGCGACGCTCGTTCTGTGTTCGGTGGCTGCCTGACCCGGCTCGTCTCCAGTCCGGAGAACATATAAATGCGTCGTCCTATCCATCGCTTTCTACTCTTCGCAACTGCGCCCCGCATATTATCAGCGATTGTCGCCACACAATGGATCGAGCGGTGCGTTAAGAACTATAACGTCCGGTGCACAGACGGCTCACTTTGTTTCAGGTTACTCTGCTTCCTGAACCATCCTCCGGCCAAGGTGGACAAAGTGAATATGTATCTGATGAAGACGACTTGCGGGATGCTCTGGAGCTTTCCAAGCTCTCGTCAGGCGACTTTGACGCAAAAATCGCGGAGCGTGCTAGTAGCGTCAAGTCAAAAGCTCGAGAACGTACCCCGGAAAAAGCCGCATCTTTCAACGTACGAGCTCGTTCTCCTGTTATATTGGCTCCGTTCCTCTAATTGCTGCATAATGTAGTCCTTGGAAGCAGGGGTCAAAGCCTGGTCAGGTAGCCCTATGCAAACCGACGCCTTTCTCTTCAAGTTGGACACCATTCTTGCTGTCCTCTCAACGAGAATGGTTCGTTGGTGGCTGGCCGCATCGAGATATATGCTTACCGTCGGGCAGGAAATCGTTGCCGACAATCCCCACGACGAGCAAGTCCTTTGGCTTCTCGCGTTCATGGGAGACGTGTTTTCCGCTTTTGGGGTTCGTTTTTCTCTCGTGTCTGCTAACTTCTGCTCTGATTAGGCATCTAGCGCGCCGATATGGGTGCGATTGCCCAAGAAGACCGTTCACTGCAATCCCTTCACTTCAGTTCCTCGGCTCTTACTGGCTTCGTGCACATGACTCGATTTCGTCTGTCGGGGGATCCAGACGACTTGACACCGGCGGTGGTTGCTCTCCGCGACGCGAATTCCGCTCCGGAAGAGCACGGACTGAAGCAGGGAATACTTGACGAGCTCTCCAGTGCACTCGAATTACGCTTTGAGCGTCGTAGAGATCCCGCAGATCTCGAGGAAGCAATCGTCTACCGACGTCACCGGGACCGTCTGCCTCGCGATGGCGATCCCCATCATAGCCGCTTTCTTTCCAATTTTAGCCTTGCTCTACGCAACCGCTTCGAATGCTACGGAAGAGCGGAAGATATTGCCGAAGCTGTCGTCCTATCTCGTCGCGCGGTCAGTGTGCATCCTTCTCACCGCATCATCAACAACCTCGGCAGCGTGCTCATAGAACGCTTCCGGAGTTCTGGGGGTGTCGAAGACCTCGAAGAAGCAATCGAATGCTATCGTCGCGCTTTCAATCTCTCCTCTGATCCATTTAGTTTAAAGTGCCTCTGTGATGCACTAGGCGACCGGTTTCTCCTCACCGGGAAGCTGAAAGACATCGACGAGGCGATCGAAGTAGGGCGTCGCGCCGTTCAATTTACCGCCGACGATGACCCGGAAATGCCAGTCATCCTTACTAGCCTCTGCACCGCACTCGAAGAACGCTTCAAGCGTCTTGAAGACGTGCTAGATATCAACGACGCGATTTCTGTGGGGCTACACGCAATCAAGCTCACTCCCGAAGGTTATCCGTACGAGGCAGAGCGTCTTGCTCAGCTCGGAGCAGCGTTCTACGGACGCTTCAGTCGTCTGCGAGACATCGGTGACCTCGACAACGCGATCCTCTTTATGCGCCGAGCGATCACCTCGGAAGCACCGGCGAAACACACCTTCGTACCAGTTCATCTGAATAATCTTGGGATGGCTTTGTGCTCGCGTTTCAACCACGTGGGTGCTGTCGAAGATCTAGACGAGGCAATCCCTTTCATCCGTCGCGCGGTAACCCTCTCGCCTAGCGGCCACCAGTTAACGCCTATATGTATAGCCAACCTCAGCACCGCTTACAGCTTACGTTTCACTGTTCGCAAGGATATTTCGGACATTGACGAGGCCATTTCCTTGCTAGAAAGCCTCATTGAGCACCCAGCCCCTAACGGAGACAGGGACAAGGTCTATTTAAACCTGTGCTCGGCCTTCGCTATACGCCTCACGTTTTCTCCAAGCCCGTCGCGATCCGACTTTCAAAGCACCATCCAGTCATTCATGCACGCCATCAGCCCTGGCGTCCCTTGTGTTCCTTCAGCCAAAGTCGCTTCCGCCGAACTTTGCGCATCGCTATGCCGCAGCTACCCGAACTTTTCCTCTCCTTCTCTCCTCATCCAGATCTATGCTGCAGTCTTCGACATCATCTCCGAGGTCGTCTGGCTCGGTCACTCCATCTCGCGGCGCTTCGACGAAGTCATGCACGTTGCAGGTATCGTTCACGCCGCGGCCGTCGCCGCGATCGAGGCGGGCGAAGCAGAGAAAGCGCTTGAATGGCTCGAGGAAGGCCGCGCGATCGTGTGGGGACAGGTCCTCCGACTGCGCACGCCAATCGATGAACTCCGCCAGCATGATGAACAACTCGCGGTTGAACTGCAACAGGTTGCAGCTACACTCGCAGACGGCGGCCACCCTGTAAGGCCGGAGGATGCCTTACGCTCCCCTGATCTCAGCCTTCAGCGTTCTCGGGCCATCCCTGAAGAGGCAGCGCAGAAGCAGCGGAGGCTGTCTGAGCGGTACGAGCAGCTCCTTGCGCAGGTTAGGGGTATCGAAGAGTTCAAGAACTTCCTCCGCCCCAAGAAGCTCAGGGACCTCGCCCCCGCTGCGGCTGGTGGTCCCGTCGTATTCATCAACGTTCACGAGTCACGATGCGACGCTCTTGTCCTTGTCCGCGACGGTCGAGTCGTGCATGTCCCTCTCCCGATGCTCACCCATAAACTCGCAGAGACGATGCGCATGCAGCTCGCATCCGATCTGCGACGGGCGGGCCTCCGCACACGTGGCGCAATCTTCACGGGAGAAAGTGGAAAAGAATCGCAGGATGTCGTTCAAATTCTTGGGGCTCTGTGGTCGTACGTTGTGCAACCTGTCGCGAGCGCGATCGAGGACATCGTGAGCTGCTGATTACTGTGCTAAAATGGGCTGTGCTGATTTTTTGTGCACGCAGCTCGTAGAATGCTCCAACGGCGACAAGGTTCCGCACATAACATGGTGTCCGACAGGGCCGCTGGCCTTCCTCCCTCTGCACGCCGCTGGCGATTATCGCCCTGGCCCAAAGCGCCTCGCCCTCTTCGACTTCGTGGTGTCGTCCTATACCCCCACCTTGGACGCCCTTCTCAAATCTCGCTCAACGGACGGTCCACATATCCCGACGGACGAGGACGTCCTTGTTGTGTCCCAGCCCAATACTCCGGGGTGCACCTCCCTTCCCGGAGCCGCCGCAGAGGCAAAGACAATCCTAGAGAACCACTTCCCCTCTAGTGTACTGTTGAGCGGCGAGGACGCGACCGTCGGCGCAGTCCTCGAGCGCATCAGCCGCTTCCGGACGGTGCACCTCGCCTGCCATGGCACGCAGGACCTGGAGGACCCGCTGAAGAGCGCATTCCTTCTGCACGATGGCCGTCTGGAGCTGTCGCAGCTCATGTCTACTTCGACGCGGAGCGCGGAGCTAGCGGTCCTATCTGCGTGCCAGACGGCTGCGGGGGCCGCGGCGCTTCCTGACGAAGCGGTGCATTTGGCGGCGAGCATGCTGGCGGTCGGATACCGCGGCGTGGTCGGGACAATGTGGTCGATCTGGGATGAGGATGGACCGGTCATTGCTGATGCGTTTTATGCCGCGCTGAAACTGTTACGCAAAAGGGATGAAGTGGAGGAAAGATCTGACGTAGCGTACGCGCTGCATGAGGCGGTTGAACGTCTGCGCGAGAAGGTCGGAGAGCGGAATGTCCTGCGCTGGGTTCCGTTTGTGCACTTTGGCCTGTAGCAGCGTTCAGGGTAGGGACTTGAAGACCTTTCCGTCATCTCGTCTGATACAGACACTCGCATATCTTGACATGCAGGCGGTCCCCTGAAATTTGTCGTTTTGCATGACCATGTACGTGACAATTTACCACACAGCCATATGTGTCACTTTGCTCAAGCAGAAGCCACTGGACATCGATGGACGGTGCATTGCGCGGCTCACTATACACGGCACTGGTACTGGATAGTATGGGATGGAGCGACAAAATCCCATAAGTTTCCGTCGCAGTCGGAGTCATCTCCAGCTCTTGGGCGCCGCCCCGGTGTCTAGCTTATCTTTACCCCTCTCTTACGTGTACTCACCACGATGGATTGGTCGCTTCTCTTGGATTGTATACGCAGGGATTCGACAGAGGAATCGACCCCAAAAATACCCACCACTTGTAAAAAACCGGTATTTTTGTCGCAACCCAACATTCGGTGAACTTGTCCTTGACCTTGCGGCATTTCCGCGGACGATCGATCGCTCATCTCGCTCATCTCCTGTGAGTCATAACTTTTTCTCTTACGAGGCTGCATTCTGTGGGGAGGCCACTACCTTTTCTGGCTGCAGATAGAACCTTTCCCTGCACCACTATATTGCCCAAAGCGGGGCATTACTCTAGGCCCTCGTTGTCTAATGGTCATGACGTCAGACTTCTACTCGCTTGTTTATGCAGTGTTGCTGGATCTGGAGGTTGCGGGTTCGAGTCCCGCCGGGGGTATCATTTTATTCCTCTTACCGGCTGCTCTAGACGTCTTCTTTCTCCCTCACACATTAACTAGTGTGTTCATAAGATCGCAGAAATAAGATTGAGTGTTTTAACAAGCCTATATAACACCCGGAAAACTGGTGTGCTGACGCTCGAAATAACTGATTATCTGCCGGATATCATCCATGAATAAAAATATCTGAAGAAACGATTCGTGTATGCCGTAAGTCCTATATCTGTGCGACACTTGGCCGGCCCGGGAAAAACTATAGCTTGTCGAGGCTTTCCGCGTACCGCACCCGCCTGTCGCTCCAGCTGCACGCCTCCACAGGGATTTAAGCGCTTTCGTCAGCTAAGTCTATGTAGACGATGAGTGCAGCACACGACACCTCCAAGCGCAGTTTTCGGGCGAGAGATCCTTGAGCATAACGGCAGTGCCAACCGATGAGGACGCGTTGATGCGACTCTGCAAGTGGTTGACGGTATATCGGATCTCGTATCGGCGTCGGAGCCGTTGAAGAGCACGAAGGTATGGATGGTGAGGGTGGAGCCACAGTCGGCCACGCACTGGCGGGTCCTCACCTGCATAGGCGGCGATGCAAAGATCCATGCTTGTACGGACGAGGAGGTAAGGCACGGTACGAGAAGAGGTACAGGGCAGAGACAGCCCACTCCGGGGAAGGAGTGCAAAGTCGCCGACAGTAGTCTTTTAGCTTAGCAAGGATAATCGGGTTGCAGCGACACAGCCGTGCAAGAGACGAGGCCTGCGGAATAACGTCGAGATAACATCGAACAATGACCCCAGAGATGTGGCCGCAAATACAGTCAAGGAGAGCGTGCTGGGCATGATGATCTAGAGGACACGTAGGAAGCCGAGGTTAAGAGAAGGCGCTGGGTTGACGGGGTGCCGTCCTTCATCATCTTTATATGTCTGCAAGACGTCCTTCTAACAGAACCCACGACATATTGTCATCAACACTCTGCGAGGCCGTAGCAAAGGAGGCAAAGCACATGGCATGGCAGGCTTCGCTGGCTGACTGTTGTCGAGCGTACGCACGCTCGCCGCAGAGCATTTATGGACGGCTCTTGGGGATCGTTCGGCAGGTGGATGTAAGACTAGGATAAATCTGGACACACCGTCTTTATAGAATATTGGCCTCATTCAGCTTTAAGCTTGTTCGAGTCGGATGAAGGAAGGAGGTCTATGCGGGTACGATGGCAGTCCCTCTGACGTGACTATAGTTTATTGTGGACTGGCAACACAATGCTAAGAAAATGGCGTACAGACCGAGTAAGGGAGTATTGACTTTGCTGCGTGTCACGGTGACGGATCCTTTGAGCGAGATCGGCGAGGGGCGAAACAGTACCATGCACATCTTACGAACAGGAATCGGTAACGAAAGATGGAGGGACAGCTACCAGTTCCTACCGCAGCTCTTTCCATAAACTGCTCGTTTCCCGGTTCCTAAAACAAGTCTAAGGCGTGCTGGAAGGGCACTCACTCTATAGTCACGGCGTTGCGCCAGCTCTCCGCACCGAGCTGTACATGACGTCATATTCCTGCAAGGCCACCAACAGAACTCCCGAACAGCCCGCGTGCATCCGGTTATTGCATTACTCTCGATATGCCCGAGGGATACGCTCCGGCGTGCTCCGGTGCAAAGTTCGGAGCTTTTGGGCCTAATACGTACCGCAGGGCTTCGATGTGTACTGGGTAAAGATGTTCAAGGCAGCCCTGCTTGACGTTGATCGGTTCTGCATACTAACCATGAAAGCAGAGGTGGGGTCGGCGTTCATAGGGTGGGGGTGTTCCGCTGTGAGGTGGTGAAAATTGTGGAATAGGTCGCGTCACTAACTTGAAACCCGGCCGTTCCCGCCTTACCAACCCGTCTGTTTCTTTTCTTTTTTTTTCTTTCTCTTTCTTTTCATCCGTCTCGAAGTGATAAGGCCTTCAAGGATATGCCCGTCTCTTTCTGCTTCCCCCCGCACCACACGTCGCAACAACAGGTCCCAACACCGCTCCGTCACCGCAACGGTCGTCGCACACCCACTGCCCATCGCCATTGGACTACGCTCGCTCGCTCACTCCACTAGCACCTGTCGCTAATGCATCTATGCTCGCTTTTTCGTGGGTTTGTTCTCTGGCTGCGCGCGATGTGAGATGTCTATATGCGCGCTGGCGCGTGCAGTGAGGCGATCTAGCTTCTCTCGATGTGCATCCACGTTGATGTGTTAAGGCTCATAAGTTCCCCACCAGTGCCCTGCGCGACGGCATCTTCCTCTTCCCGGACTGACGCGGCGCGACCGCCCGCCCGCACACGCATGTCCCCCCGCTTCCTGTTCCGTCTGCTGTGTACGGTACCTTAGCACGGGTGCTTGCACCCTTCCGCTGACTGGAGCGCGCCGTTACTGTACTATACGTTACGCTACGTCCCGCCCCGGTCCCATGATTCTCTTTCCCCGTTTCGGTGCGGCCCTGGCGTCATGCTGCCGCTTGTATCTTACTATATATAGTGCGTGACGAGGCTGGTGGCGGGTCTCGGCGGCGGCGCCTTCGGCGCCGTCGTCGGGGCTTCGCCCCGCTGACGTCACCCACTCGATTAAAGAAGAAGAAGAAGGCTCATAAGTTACCACATTCGAGAAAACAGGACTTTATGGTCCATGGGGATTTACAGCACTGTTTATAGGCTACTTCTACATGGAGTACACCCTAGGCTACATTTGTATAGTATGGTTGCTATTCAGCTTTACTGAGCAGGTGGAGTCTGCATCTGCGGATACCAGGATCCAGGTGTAACAGGGAGGGCTGTGCTGAAGCCAGTAAGATCAGCTATGCGCCAGCGACAACAGGAGGGATTGGAGGCAGGCAGCATGCCGTTGCATGGAATCCTTCCTTGCGACACACAGGCCACAACGCACACAACGCCACGGCTGCGCCGCGCCGTGGACGGTCTGTACGTGCCGCTCAAGGAGTCTGCACATGCCACTCAAGGACGCGCGGGAGCGTGAATGCGTTGTATGCGCCGCGCGCCGCACAGATGCTGCACGCATACTCGCCCCGTGTGTTGCTTGCTGGCGTCCCTGGCGCGGGGTGGGATCGAGGGGACGGGAACGGGATGTTCGTGTTCTCCGTCGGCCCGCCTCCGCCCAAGCTGCTTATCCAGCTCGTCCACCCCTGCGCACTCCTACTATCCGTTGCTTCTACTTGAGCAGCCACCTCGAGCGCGGGTGTGCGCGCGGCGTCGAGCCCGAGCGTAGCGCCGACGGTGCCATCTCAGATGACGGCGCGTCGCGCCTCAGTGGTCCTGAAGATGGCGGGAGATAGGCAGGCCATCCACTGGGACCTAGCTACGCTGGCGCGGGCTGTGCTTCGTCGTAGGCAGCGCGCGCCGATGAGCTGTGTAGCCCGCGCCCGTCGGAGGGTCGGCGAGCACTGGCAGAGGAAAGTAGGGACGGGTCCCTGATGAGGTCTCCGTCCGCGATGAGGTGCGTGGCTAGCGGTGGGGAGTGATGCGGCGGCGGTTCGGGAGGGGGTCGGGTGGAGGGGACGAGCATGCTGTGCGTTCCGGGGGAGATGTGAGGGACATGGATGGATAGAATGGAAGGAAACACACCTTGGTAAAGGTGAGAAGTGTGCCATCATTGTGCGCGTTTCAAGTGCGATATGGTTGGTGAGTGTATGATGCTTGGGAGTGAGGATTGAAAGTGAGGAGGTCGGGCGGATGAGAGGCGCTTTATATACCCCAGCGGGCGGCAGGCTGCGTGACAACCCATCAGGTCGTCACGCGCGGTGGTCGCCTTGCATCCAGTTCGGGCGGTGTGGTTGAATGGTGCGGTTGAACGGTGCGGCCAGCGTGTAGGTGGACGACGTGGTCGAGATGACGGATTCAGACGGGCCATGAATCTGGGTCACCTAGGAACAATGGAGAAGCGCACGCCACATTCCGTTTATTGCCACGATTCCTACTGGAAGCGACTTCCGATGTGATGTTATCGGGCAAGGCGAACGTAAAACAAAAGCTGTAGAGGCTGGCGAGAAAGACACGACGAGGCACAGATGGTGCAGTGGCACTGCCAGCCAGCGGCCCTTCACCACGATGAACGGCAATAAGCACCGACCCTGAGCGACGTTCGCCCAGACGCACGCACGTACATATCGGGCCTGGGGCTGCCAGTCGATCCAAAAGGAAGATGCAGGGGGCAATGAGGTCCCACGCGATGCGACAAGCTGGTGGTCTTCACCAGATGTTACCTACAGCCCCGACCTCTTCAAAACCGACATAACTCCTCCCCGGTAGAAAGCGCGAGCCCGGAGGTCGTTTGGAGGACATGGAAGCAAGTACCACTCGGGGAATTTCAGCTACGCGGGAGAGCAGAGTCAAGCCCCATATTACATGTCGAATAGACTACGGCCCTGATGGGGTAAATGAGGTGGGTAGTGGCGCTCGTGGTCGTGGTCGCATACACTGTCGACAGTGATAGCTCAGGTTTCCACAGCCAAGATCGGGGAGCAACAAGTATGAATTTCTCTCAGCTCTGTTAAATGTTCATCCGAAGCGGGAGCCCCAACTTCATGCATATTTCGAAGACGCGGCCTGGGAATGAAGGGAACAAATCATAGAAGGGCATGTAATCTCACTATGTCCAAACTCCACATTCGAGGTGATGGGGTGTCGTGCTGCCTTCGGCGCATAATGTAAAGACGGATACATCTCTCGGAGAGTACAAACCAGCAGAGAAAGAAAGAAAGGTCAGCCAACCGAAGCCTCTGAGCGGATACGGCACGGGCGACGAAGAGTCATAATTGGAAGGGCATGCGCGTTGGACGCAAGCCACGTGGTCTAGTGATGACACGGACATCGCCGTCGCTGCCCGCCGCGTATATCCGAGTCAGCCATGGCACTCGACTTACCGCAGACGCCTTTCGACTCAAATCGCCCGGCGAGCGAAGAATCGAACATCGGAGGGAGGTGGATTACCTTGACATATAAACATAGCGGTAGAAGAATCCG